GGGTTGGGCTCTGGATTCAGGGCTGCAGGGGCTGGGTGGGCTAGTGGGGGCCAGCGCTGGAGACCAGACCTTGCAGGCTGATCAGCAGCCTCCCTAGAGAAGAGGCCACTCTGGATGGCAGGGGGCGTCCAGGCTGAATCCTCAGAGGCTGGTGAGTAAGAAAGGCGGGCCTGGCCGACAGGCAGGAAGGAGGAGTGGCTGGAGGAAGGGGAGGCCCAGAGGGTGGACACGTGGAGAATTGTCTCCCAGCGGGTGCTCCTTGCTGCCTTGTTAACACCCTTGGCCATGTCAGATCCCAGAAAAGGTGTCACCCTTCTGAAGAGTGGGGGCGGGGGAGGGAGGTGGGAGAGGCCCAGCCAGCAGGGGAGGGAGGTAGCAGTGTGGCTGCTTTGGGTGGGAGTGTGGCTTAGTCCTCAAGGACTGTGGACAGGAAGGTGTTCCATGACACTGCAACTCTGGTCACCAGAGTGGACTAGGGGGGGCAGGTGGCAGGGGCAGACAAGGTTTTCTATGCCTCACCACACTGAGCGGCCCGGGAGGGGACAGGGTGAGACAGCAAGGCAGGGCCCTGGGAGCTGTGCAGGTCACAGACAGAGCCCAGTGTTTGATGAGGGCTGGCCACTGCCCCTGCCTCCCTTTTCTGAAGTCTCAGAGCTCAGAGGTCCTGCCTGGTACCTGAGGGCCATCAAGGAGAAAGGAAGCGGCTGGAGCTTCCTTTATGCCACAGGGCCAGAGGGGACCCCTGCAAACATGCCAGGCAGGGTCACATCTGCTTAGGCTTCTAATCCCCAACCCGTCCTGGGCTGGCATGGGAGCTGGACCGCAGAGCACTGCTGAGCCCATTGCCCAGGCCTGTGCCTGGGGCAGTTCTTTGTCCAAACCGTCTGTATCAGTTTCCTGTGGCTGCTATAACAAATTACCCTAAACCTTGTTGCTTAAAACAACACACATGTATTCTCTTACAGTTCTGGAGTTCAGAAGTCCCCAAATTAGTATCACTGGGCTCAAGGCAAGGTGTTGGCAGGGGGGTTCCTTCTGGAGGTCCCAGGGAGAATCCGTTTCCTTGTCTTTTCCAGCTTCTAGAGACCATCTGCAGTCCTCTCCTCAAATCACTCCAAACTCCTGCTCCCTTCGCTTCTGGTCCTGCCTCGGACCCTCCTGCCTTCCTCTTAAGGATCCTCGTGGTTACATCGGCTCACCTGGATAATCCAGATAGTCTCCCCAAGGCCTTTCACAAAACCCCTTTACCATGTAAGAGAGCGTATTCCCAGGTCCTGGGAATTAGGATGTGGACACCTTTGGGGGGATGTTATTCAGCCTCCACGCCATCTATCTAACCTGCAGCTGGAATGGGAGTGAGGCGTTCTGCTGCTGACACACTGTCCTCCCGGTGGCCCTTGGTGTGCCCCAAGAACCCTCCCCAGTCCTCTCCAGGCTGTTGGGGGCCTCTCACCGGGGCCCCAGCAGCCCCCGATCCTCGCCTGAGGCCAGGTTGGACTGTGGGCTCTGGGATCGAAGTGAGTTGCCATCAAGAGCTGGCAGCACGGGTTGAGGGAGGTTTCGTTAGCTGGCTGTTTCCCAAACAAGGCCAAGAAATATTTACATGGTGACGACATCTGAATGCCCGGGATGGGGTACAAATGAAACAATGAGCACTTTGGTACCAGAAAGGAGTCTGGGTGGTGGCGGCTGAAATTCCATTCATATTTGTGCCTGCAGATAAACACTATTAATACTGAAGGGCTGTGTCCTGGAGAGGGACGGGTGGGCCGGAGGTCCGTGGGGGTGATAGTGCAACGCAAGTCTTGTCCCCAGACTCCAGCCCTAGTTCTGGCACAGTGGGTTGGACACAGGGCTGGCGCCTTCCTTCTCCAGTGAGGGTTTTTGTGCGAACAAATGCCCCTGGATGCTCACCACACCCCTCCCTGTGCGTCTCCCCCATGTGCTGTGCCCTTGGAACAGTCTCTGTGCAGATTGCAAATCTGGCCCTGGACTCTCCAGTTGGCCAGGTAGGCAGCAAGGGGCCCAGGGCCACCTAAGGCAGCGGTCGTCAACCTTTTGGACCTCACGGACCACCAGTGGTCTGCGGACTACCGGTTGGTGACCGCCGACCTAAGGGACAGATGGCAGTCCAGAATGAGACCTACTCTAGCTGGGCCTGCCGGACCCTCTGCCTCCTCCCACGCATCTCCAGGTTTCAGCCTGACCTCTTCCATCATGCTCATCCTCTCACTGGCTCAAATCACAATCCCCTCAGCGGGCCCCTCCCTCCCCTCCTTGCTTCTCTACCCCCCACCTCCAGCTGTGAGGCCCAGGCCTTGGCTTTCATAATTCCTCGGGCCTCTCTCCTTCCGAAATACCTGCTCCAGCTCAAGGCCTGTTCTGGGGCCACTAGCGCGCTGAATGAACACATTGCTTCAGACAAACCTGCTTCCCCATTCAGGGATCTCTTTATTCAATCAGCAAACTGTCAGCAACTTGGCCCAGCCCGCTAAGACCTCCTCTGAGGGCATACAATCAAAATGCATTTGGTGCCTTTCTTATTACCGAGAACTGACTACCAACATCTTTGGGGCCCCCAAGGCAATTCAATGGTATTTGCTTTGTCCTGTGTCCTTTTTTTTCCTAACAGAATTCCAGAATAAAAATAGAGCTCTATCATATATATATATATATATTTATACACACACTTACATATATTGAGATCCTTCAACCAAGTGGCAGAGGATCTGCTGCTCTCCGCAGCGTTGCTCACCTGCCGGAGGCCAGGAGGCGCAGGCTCTCCCTGGGAAGCACCTGGGGGTGCAGTGCTGAGCCAGTGTAGTGAGGAGGGTGGGTCTCCCACAGAGAGACCGGGCTATGACAGACCCGGGCAGTCCTTGCCTGGCCTTTCCACACATCTTAAAATGAGAGATGTACCTAGAGCTTTAAAACTAAAACCCAAAGTGCTGATAAAAAAAGAATGCCCCTGATAGGCCTGTGTGGGAGGGGGGCAAATTCTTGGGGAGAATCCCAGGAGCATCTTGCAGCAGGCTGGGGGAGGGGAGCAGCAGGAAACATCTTTGGGGCCCCCAAGGCAATTCAATGGTATTTGCTTTGTCCTGTTTCCTTTTTCCCACCACCAGCACCCAGGACCCCTGCAGACATAGGTATCTAGTATCCAGAGGCCTGTTCAACCAGTTAGGAGGTGCCGGGCAGAGACAACCAAATGGCCAGGGTGGGGCTTGGGTTGCCCAAGAAAGCCTGAGGAATGGGTTGTGGGTGGTGAGATGAGCTGGGACAGTCCTAGAGACTCCCATCACCAGAGTGACGTGCATTGTACCTGTTGCCCAGAAAGGTAAGGCTCGAAGGAATGTGCTGACGTAAGCTACTAGAAAGGGCTGGGTCCAGCAGCCACGTTTCTGTCCTGAGGCCCATCCTGGGGCTGTGGCCTGGGGTCTAAGCAGGCTGCTTCAGCTGGGGTGTTTCCAGGAAGATGGAGATGGATGGAAATGGAAGGTTAGTTAAGGCCAGTGCTGTGTCGCTGGCCACAAGGCCACCTGGCAGCAGAGGGGTGCACAGTGGACCCCAACTGGCCTCGTCAGGCAAAGGTCAACGCCAGGCATTACCCACTGACTCAGCCTGGGAGAGGAACCCAGCGGTCCATCTTCTTCCCACTTGCCAGTCAAGTCAAGCTGTGACTGCTCTGGGCAAGACCTGAGAGTGATCCAAAACCCTGTCCTGAGACTGGGGCATGGGACCAGGGCTGCGGGCTCCCCAAGGCACAGAGGCACAGGGGGGTGAAGGACAGCTGTGAGGCTCTCAAGGAGCAACTCCAGTCACCGTGACTCTCGCGAGGCGCCACGGAAGGAAGCCAGGAAAACCCTTGGCCCAGCCAGAGGGCAGCTCGCAGGGTTCGTCTTTGGTGCTGGAGAGCAGAGAGCTGAGGTTCGAGACTAAAGCTGGTGCAAAGCCGGAAATCAAGGGTAAGGGATGTTGAGGGAGGGTGGCAGGTATGGGATAGGGGTTTCCAGGTGGGGAGGTAACCAAGCCACACAGACCTGACCACACATTTAGATGCTGCACAGACACTCTGGGGAGGGGCCCCCATGTGGATGTGGCCTCCCAGCTACTTCCTTGCTCATAAATGCCACAATGTCTGAGTCCCAAAGAGCAAGGAATTTGCTTTTGATGCAAATCTGGTCCACCCAGCTCGATGAGCAGCTCCCAGACCCAGCTGGCCCAGGAGGGAATGCAGGGTGGGGCGGGGGAGGCGAGGAGAACTAGGACTGCAGCTTGCAGAAGTGTTCCCTAGAGATGTATTTCCCTGAGGTCCAATTCCTCCCCCAACCCATGCTCCCTGCTTCCTGCCTGCCCCCCCCCCCCCCCCCCCACCGGCCTCCCTCCCTGCTGCTGCGGGGGTGTCAGAGCTCTCTGGGGATGATGGAGAAGGGCAGCACTGGGCTGCTGGCCTCCAGCTCCAGGGCGGTGAGGAAGCAGTCAATGGCGGCCTCACTCTGGCCCTGGGCCTGCAGCACTTCGCCCAGGCCCTGCCATGCCTCGTGACAGGTGCTCTGCCTTTCCACGGCGTCCCGCAGCACCTTCTGGGCCAGGGACTTGTGGCCCAGCCGACTCAGCATCAGACCCTGGGGAGCAAGCACAGGGCAGGGGTTAGTGAGGATGTCCTGGGCAGGGCAGGGCAGGGCATCCTGGCGATCAGGGCAAGGAACGGGTGTCTCTGGCTTGGATTTGGTCAAGTGACTGTGCCCATGACTAATGCAAATCCTACCGGTCCCCACCACAGACCCACTTCCAGCCCAGCCTCCCAGATCATGCGCTCTGGGAGCTGTGTCCCTCCTGACCCCAAAGGATGGTCTTCCAAGTCAGCAGACCTGGCTCTGAGTGTCCCCCTGACCAGCTGGGAGATCCTGGACAAGCCACCACTCTCTGGCCCTCAGTTTCCTCATCTATAAACAGGAAAGACCACAGTAGACACCCCGAGGGTTGTTGTGAAGTTTACACGAGTCAGTTTATGTAAATACTTGGACAGTGTCTACCTGCATGAGTCTAGTTAAAGGGTCTTTCTCCCAGCCTTGCTGCCACGCTGCCCTTCTCCCCAGGGACCCGGTGAGATACAGAATGTAAGCTGCAGGCTCCGGCTTCTGTCAGCTGGGGGAGGACCTCAAGCTGGTGGGCGAGTGGGGGCAGCTCCTTTGCCTGCATCAGCAGACGTTCTTCCTAGGGATGTCTGGGTCCTGGGACATAATGCCCATCCCAGGCTGGCCTGGCAAGTGAGGGTCACCGACAGTCAGAGAGCCGGGGACCAGGGATGGAGGCTGAGTGAAAGGAGGATTCTGGGAGGGTGGGTCAGGGTGGCCAGGAGCTTGGCCTTACATTTGGCTCCAACAACCCTGTTGCCAGAGAGATACAGGAAGTGACAGGAATTGTCACAAAAAAAGGGTCGGGAAGTGAAACTGGCACCCTGCCCCTCTACGTCCACTTCCACCCACACGGGAAAGGGTGCAGGGAGCGAGGGGTACAGGGTGGTGAGCAGAGGGAGGGGCCAGGGCCTGTTTTTGGCCTCTGTTCCCATAAAGGCTTCTCTGCACCATACCGACTCACTGATCTGTGTCCCAGCCCTCAAAGGTGGCAAAGGATGGCAGCACGGGGGCGGCGGAGGGGGAGGGCGCTCCTCTCATTCAAAGATACGAGGTAACGCAGGAGCAACACTGACTTCCTGGACAGGCGGGGGCCAGGGTGGGGTGGGGAGCTGCCTCCCATGTGCCCGGAGCCCCTCTCGGGTGCCCGCCCACTGATGGCCATGTACATTTTTAGCTGGAACATTTTCATCCTCACCACGCTCCCCAGAGTTAGGCCCTCCGTTGCCATGGAGACCCACTAGGAAAGATGCACATGCCTGATTTCATAAAGTCCTCCGAGAGCCTGGAACATGACCAATTAGGCAAGAGAAGATGGCGCTCAGGAAGCCCTAGTAAAAGCTCCCCCCGCCCCCGCCTGCTGGAGGCGCTGGCTGGTGGTCCTGCCGCCAGGGGCTAGGAAAGGGAAAGAGGGACGTATTCAGTCTCCTCAACCCCAGCTGAAGCCATCCCCGGGAACCACAGGGATGAGGCAGAGGACAGGGGAGGACAGGGGAGCTGTGACAGGCGGAGCCTCAGGCAGGCCCCAGCTCCGGCTCCGGCCAGATGGGAGCAGTGCTGACTCAGGGCTGCCTGGACCAGAGGGCTGTGCCCAGTCTGGCCAGCAAGGGCTCCAGGCCAAGCTGTTCTGCCCGCAGGGCCTGGGAGCCGGACCCTGAGCAGCTCACAGGGAGGAGGGAAGGAAGGCGAGACGACAGGCTGCCAGACACCAAAATTAAGCACCAAAAATGGAAGGTTTGAGCCCTGTGAGTGCTGCCGATGGGGGAGCGACAGAGGACAGACGGGGAAGGCCAGCCAGCAGAGCTTCCCAGTGAGGGGCGGGCCGCAGTGGCTTTACACACTAAGGCTGCTATATTGCGCTTCCACATGAGATTCTGTTTGAAAAGAGGGCTCTGTCTGAAAATGAGTTTGCAAACCCCTGATCTCAAGGGGCGTGTGGGGTTTGGGAAGGGGCCAGGTGTGTCTGCAGGCTGAACAGGGCTTCATGCATGTGTAGGTGCTATTCTCGGTTTGGGTGCGCAGCAGGCTTGGCGTGCTCGGTGCAGAGGACAAGTCAGGGCCCCACAGCCACAGGAACCCCAGCCCTGCCCCTGACACGCGCAGTGACCCTGGGCAAGTGGCCCCTTTTCTCTGAGCCACGGCTTCCTCATCTGTAAACTGGGGAACAGAAGAGTCCTTCCTCCTCGGCTACGGTGAGGAGTCTGCCATGATGAACTTGAAATCGCGGAGCCGGGTGGGGCACATGGTGGGCAGATGGCAAATGGAGTGTCCCCAGGATGAGCAGAGAATCCTGGGAGGGGGCGAGGGGGTGGAACAGCTGATTTCTCTAGAGGGCAGGGCTCTCTGTGGGGAGACTGTGGGCGAGGCTGGGGTTGGATCACCCCCCCACCCCACCCTGGGGTGCTGACCTTAGAGCCTGAAAGGAGACACCGGGCTGGGGTCAGGCTGGGGCCCAGAGGCCCGGGGCTGGTAACAGGATCTGCTGCCACCTGCCCGAGACACCAGCCTGTTCATGTTTGGTAGCAACTCGGAGCTGTTTGCTGCTTGACAACTGCACAGAGCCCACCCCAGGATGACTGTAGGGCTCACCTGCTCTGCCCCCAGCCTGCACTTCCATGAGCCTGGCACCCCTGCCCCCAGCTGCCCAGCGAATGGGTCTTCAGGGAGATGGAGGGACCACAATTCCATTCCAATATCCTGTGGACTCGTCCCCATCCTGAACCCAGAGAAACCAGACCTGCTGGTGACCCTCACTTGGGAGAGGCCACAGTTGTGCTGCCCTTGCACAGGGATCAGAAAGGGCGTGCAAGTTGCTTAAGGGATGGAGAGGGGCCAGGGGTGCTTATAGCCGCTCAGGGAGGGGCAGGGGAAGTCCCAGCAATTCCTGACTTCCTCCATTCCTTCCTCCCTCCCTTCTTGGGTTCCAGGGAGGGGGGAACATCTGGCCACATCTCATCTACCTGGGACCCTGCTCCCCAAGACGCATTCCCTGAGGACAGCAGCCCCTCCTGCCCACACACCACCTTGACATTGTGCGGCGTTACTGTGGGATCCAATGGGATCCCTGACCTCTGACGGAGCTCGGTGCGAGGGCCCTGGGCTCAGAGCCAGGCACACCAGAGGCACTTGTGGGTGCTCCGTGACCTGCTTAGGGCCTCTGAGGGGGGCCGTCTGTTAGGAGCCCAGGTTTTCTGTAGAGTCAGGGACTGCAGCCTGGGATGGGGATGGAGAAAAAAGATCCTGTCTTATTTTTTCAGAATTGCCCCTGCACACGTCTCACCCCATTCATTCAGTGCCTGACACTGTCCCAGAGGGGAGGGGTGGCAGGAAGGTCCGCTGGCTGTGCCTGCCTTTTTCTCCTTTTGGGGGTGGCCTGCCCTGGGAAGTAGTCCCCAGTGCTAGGCCAGCTGCAGGCCATGCTGAGAGCTCCCTCCCCACCTCTACCCTCAAGTATTTATAGAAGTTATTTTGGGAATTTTCTTTCTGAGCTCAAGGCACATTCCTGGGATTCTGTCACAACCTCTCCAGCTGGGAAGCCGGGAATCAGCTGGAGGCTGCTGGAGCCTCTTGGTCCCTGCAGCCTCCTGTTTGGGGAGGAGCCCCTGGTGGGGTCGCCTCTGAGGCTGCTCCACAGGAAGGCTCCTTCCCTTCACCCAGCCTGAGGGCTGACACGCCCAGCAAGGGAGGCCCGCATTCCTGCACGCTGGATTCTCCCAGGTGTGTCAGCCTCAACCTGTCCAACCAGACTGGGAATGAGGCGGCTCTCCAGGCTGAGAACCCAGCCCACACATCACCACGTCCATCTTGAAGCTGGGGTGGCCCCCAAACCACAGACTGGTCCCACTTCCCTGATGGGAGAAGGGGCACAAATCCTTCTAGATCCCACCCAATGCCTGGCTGATGACACCCCCAGAACTCCCCCAGGGTCTCCTAGGAAGAGGCCCCTGTGGAGAGAGCCCAGACTCACTGGAGCCCAGCCTAGGGGGAGCCCCCTCCCTGGTCACAGCCAGGCCCTCAGGGCTAAGTCAGGAGGCTGTAGCAAGGCCTCTGGACTTTGGTTTTTAGAAGAGAAGACCCTGTGATTGGCGGTGGGAAGGGGCCCATGGCAGAGGCCCCACTCTGGGACCAGGAGACAGAGCCACTGGGGTGGTGGAGGGCAGTACTGCCTGGTAGACAAGGGGAAAGAGCTGAACTCCACTCCTCCAGACAGAGCGAGCCTTCCGGACCATTGATTCTGGGCTAACATGGGCCGGCAGCGCTGCACTAGCTTGCCCATCTGAACCTGTGACAGGCTGACAGCTTCCTTTCCACTTCCTGGTGGGGGCTGGCATGCACTTCAGCAGCCCAAGCACAGCCCAAGGCGTTCCAAAATCCAGGGGAGCAGCCCTCACCTTCTGGAAGGTCTGAGCCTGGGCTGAGGGCTCAGTGTGTTGGGGGGCTGTATCAGGCTGGGGGTGAGGCAGGGTGGGCCTGTGCTGGGGGACACGCTTGTGCACCTCCCACCTTCCCCACAGTGAGCCCCAGAACTCTCTCTTCCTCCTCCTCCTCCACTTTCCTATTGGGGACGACAGACCCCAGGCAGCACTAGGGCAGGGGGTGGGGGGATGAGAAACACAGAACTCACAGTAAAACCATCACCCAGCAGGGCAAATGACCAAGACCTTCCTTTTAAAGTTTTCAGTCAACAAGAAGCAATTTTCCCCATCGACTGGAGCTGGTGGGGCAGAGAGACTCCACTGACCGAGGGGCTGTGTGTTGCACGAACTCAGGTTCCATACAGTAGAGCCGAGACTTTGGGTCCTCCCAGTCCTCGGGGGGCCAGACCCTCTCAGGCCCCTGCCACAGCTTACGAGGCCGACAAGGAGGGAAGTCTGGGGCAGATGGGCGCCCTGGGCCTGAGGGATGGGGCCCCAGGAACCAGAGACCCCACTGTTCTGAGTGCTGCAGCCTCACCCAAAGTCAGGGAACATCCAGAGGCCGGGCGCCGA